CCTTTATTCTTTATCATACCTATTTATACTACTTGTAAACTTATAACCTGCATCCTACTATTTTCATAGGCTTCTCCTTTAAATTATTGATGTTCGACATTATTGAACGACAAAAAATGATACAATCCATCCAAAACATTGTGTTCATTAAAACAATATGATACAACACAATCCTATACAATGTCATACATTATGAATAAATATATAACAACGATCCGAACAGAGTGTTGAAGGGTGGTTGCCCCTCGTTCTGCCACAAAGTGGAAAACGGATTTAACTGTTGTGGATATGAACCATGAAGAGGCAGTTATGATAATTATATTTGGGCTAACCAATTTGGGCATGGAGATGACCTGTTCCAATCTTGGCGTGGCAACCCAGTATGAAATGTGATTGAGACTTCTCTCCCATGCAACTGGCGTTTGCAGCCATGTTCTGGCTGGCTTCTCTTTTGCCTTATCATAAAACACATCTGGGCACCTTTTGCTCGGAAAGAGAGGAGAAAAAGAATGTTTTTCTGTGATATAATTTTAGTATATGTTGAACCTGCCATTTTCTGATACAATAATGTATCACCATGTGTTCCGTATTTGCTGAACATAGCATAGAAGGTAAGAAAAATGAGGAATCAGAGAGGTTGGGATTTCCTGTAAAGGGTGGTTGCCCCTCTCTGCTATGCCCATGATTCTCCATTCATAACCAAAAAAACCAACAGCCCTTTGTTATAAACAAAATAAAATAAAATTCTTTGTGCTGCTGCTGCTGCTTATCTTGTAAAGAGGCTGTGAAGAGTTATGGTCTACGTTCAATCTCGACATTGAGAAATATCCGACCTGTATATTGGCTGCGGGACCCAGTATGTCTTTATGTAGCTAACTGTTGTCTGCAGCCATGTTGTGGTCACCTTCTCTTTTGCTGTGGTACAAAAACACAAAATCTGAGCCTATGACCATTCATTGTCTTCAAGAGACAGTTCATTATTGAAGGTGAAAAATTCCAAAGAGTTTACCCAAAATACGGAAGGTTACCCAGAAAGACTGAAAGAAATGAGGCAAAACGGAGGGTAGCGAGACTTTCTTTAAAGGGTGGTTGCTCCTATCCGTTTTTCCATTGATTTTCCTCCATTATCAAACAACCAACAACGCTTTGTTTCATGAGAAAAAGAGAAAGAGAAAATACGAAATGCAAAATGGATTTAACTTATATACACATCTTTTCTTGTGTGTGTGTGTACATGTGTTTACTGTGTTGATGAAAGGTACATAAAGAGGCAGTGATGATGATGTTTCTATATCTGGGCTAACCAATTTGGGCCTGGAGATGACCCATCCCGTATCTTGGTGTGGCAACACGGTATGGCCTGTGATTGGGACTTCTCTCCCAGGCAAACGGGGTTTGCAGCCATGGCGTGGGTGGCTTCTCTTTTGCCTTATCATAAAATACATCTATGCCCCATTTGCTTTAAAAGAGGAAAAAAAAGGAACTTTTCGGTGATTTAATTTTATGTTGAACCTGTAATTTTCTGCTACAAGCTATAAATCATCTTATAGTCCCAATGTATCACCATATTTGTTCACTGTCAGCTGATCATGGCCTTGAAAGGATGAAGAATGAGGCATCATAGGGATTGGGGTTTTCCTTAAAGGGTGGGTTGCCCCTCTGCTATGCCAGTGATTTCCATTGATATCCAAAAAATTAACAGCTCTTTGAAGACAACAAGATAGGAAAAAAACAAAATCGTCATCCAAACATGTCCTTTTGGAACAGTTACAGTCATTGCATTGAGATTATTGGACCCCACTTATGGGATACACTAGGTATGCTTTTTGTTGCTTGAGTATATTATTCACAGCTCGCTTGGATGGTTGTTATCGTGACAGTGTTTCTGTGCCCTTCAAATATTTTTCTTTTCTTTTTTAATGCTTTTGCATAGCATTGTATGTTGACGGTGGGAGTGGTAGAAGCGATGGTGGTGAGTATAATCAGTCTGCTTGAAAGAGGTGAGACAATGATTTTGATCAAATTTTAATTCCCTTCTGAGCTGATTAATTGCACATTTGAGGTTATCTGATCCTTAAAGAATTCTGATGGTCTTGCAGCCATGGCATTGCTGGGACTCTCTTTTTGAAAGTTGATGTTAGTGTTTGTTTTGTTCTTTCTCTTTTATTTGGCTCGTAGCTATTCTCTTCTGATCCCATTGATGTTTGAAACGCTTATTATGTCGAGATTTTTTTTTATTTGAGTCGGATGTATGACAGAAAATGAGTCTTGTCCTTAAAGATTGGGTAAGGTCTAAGTACATCCTAACCTTCGACTACACCAAGTATGTTATTGTTGAATGGATGATGAAAATAGCTTTTACTAACATTTGTTAGCAGTCTTATTGACGTCTTACTGTAATATTTTAGTCTTTGCTTAATTTTACTTTGAGTTTGAGATTTTCTTTATTTGTCTATTTATGATGTTTTTGGAGTTCGCTTACACTTTATACATATTTAATAGCATTGATACTACTAAATTGTATACTGCTATTGTTTCTACTGCAATGTTTTACTTTTATCATCTTGTTTTTGGTTTCACTAAATTTTATATATTCTGAGCTTTTAGTTCTTTAATATATGCCAAATTTGTTATATTATTTTGTGTATTAATTTTAGCAGAGGCTTTCTACTGTTCGGCTGCAACTTCTCTTAAATGGAGTGTTCCCAATTAGGCTCGTCTGCGTATTGTACGTATTGATTTCACTCTCTTCCTCTTAGTACACATTGATTTTAATTCATTGCAAGTATCCCTCGAGCATTTGTTTTTCATTAATTTTTGTTCTTTAGGCTTTTCAAAATTCCGGACTTTCATTTGGTTCCCGATGCCTACTGGCTATCTTAAAAGTTAAGTTTGTCATAAGCCATGAAAAACCTTTTCCTGCCTCATATTGTTTACCAAACTTCAGAAAAAGATAAATGAAGAGAAATATGTATAGAAGCAGGACCGGAAGAGAAGACAAAATTACTGTTAAATGATTGTGATTCTGTCTTGTAACTCATGTGGCAATTTTTAGTCAACAGTATTAGTGTGTCAGTAAGATGATGAAGAGGTGTATATTATTATGTCTTTCTTTTGCTTCTGGATTTGCTCCTCTACGAATTAAGTTACTTAAATTGTATATTCATTGAAAGCACAAGCTTGCAAAAAGGCTTCTTACAAAGTGAAGCACAATTTTGCAAGCAAGTACTTTAATCTTATTTTCTTTGATATTTGCTTGAAATTTTTAATTTTAACATTGACATATCTTGTTCTTTACACAGGTTTTGTATATTAATTTTATTAGTAGTAATTTAGTGTTTCTAAAATTAAGCTTAACAAATAATCAAGGATAATCAACTCAATTAATTTACTTCAAAAAAGGCAAATAGTTTATCTATTGATTGACCAATCTGCCCCTGATTCCACTTCCCCAAAATTTTGCCCTATTTAACACACAGGTACTCTCTGAGAAGCTACAAATTCGGGCATAGCCAAGAATGGAAGAAGAATGAGGCGACAGAGAATTTGGGATTTTCTGTAAGCGGTGGTTGCCCATCTCCAGTTTGCCAGTGATTTCTTCGTTACACAAAAAACCAACAACCCTGTTAAATGATCCAGGAAACACGCGTAGGTACTCTTCTATCTCTTCGACTTCTCTTTCTCTGCATTTTTTGCTGCTGATGTTGTAATGGGGCTATGATGATTGATTGCTTCCTTTCTGGGCTATGTTCAATCACAGCAATGAGAAAACCCCGACACGTATCTTGGCAGGGCAACCCAGTTAAGGCTTTGAATAGCAAACTGGTGTCTGCAGCCATGGCGGCGCCGCTTTTCTTTTTTGCTTTATTAAGAATTACAGCAAAATCTGAGCCCTCCATTTCGTGTTCTTGAATGGTGATTTCATTCTTGGGTCAGAAATCCCATTACGGGTTTGAGACGAAGAATGAGGCATCTGAGAAATTGGGATTTTCTGTGAAGGGTGGTTGCCCTTCTCTGTTTTGCCAGTGATATCGCCATTCATAACCAAAAAACAACAACAGCCCTTTAAAATAAACAAAATAAATAAATAAAAAATTGGATGAACTTCGTCCGAACACACACTTGTACTTTTGATGTTGTGTTGTTGATGATGATGTTGTAAAGGGGCTGTGATGATTGCTTGCTTCCTTTTTGAGCTTTTTTTCAATCACGACATTGAGAAATCCGACCCGTGTCTTGGTGGGGCAACCTGGTTAAGGCTTTGAATAGCAAATTAGTGTCTGCAGCCATGGCGTTGTCGCTCTTCTCTATTGCTTGATTCAAATATAGCAAATCTGAGCCCTCAATAATTTGTTTCATGGTTTTGGATGGCGAGTCTTCTCTGATGGGAAAACCTATTATGGGTTTGTGTTGAAATTTCAGCTCCGAAGAATGAGGTATACAACAAATGGGAAATTCGAAGATTAAAAAAATAAATAATTTCCCTAAACATGGAAAAGGTTAGCCTAGAAGGAAAGAAATGAGCCAAATTTATCTTATTTTATTCTTTACCATACCTATTTAAAGTAGTGTTTATCCCCAAATTTGATGCCCTTTTTCTATATCTTGATAGTCCAAAAATTCCGAGGCTATGAAGTTTATCTTAAAAACAACTGAAAAACATTTGAGTTAATTCCAAGTTGTGGCTTGGCAAAGAAAACTTGAAAGGTCTTTGAAGGAGGATGAGAAATAATAAGTTTCTTGTAGTCCCTTCTTACGAGGCAACCAATCTTTGCAGCCATGCCTGTTTTAGCTCTGTTCTTTGATTACATAGGCGAAAATCTGAGCCTCCTACCTCAATTTTACTTAATGTTTCATGATCTGATCACTGAAACAGTATCTGTTAGTGGCTTTCTTGAATTGATCTAAAAATTCAGTTACTGCTTTTAAATCTTAAAATTGATTTTATTTTTCAAAAGTGTTGTGGGATAATTTGGTTTTCATGAAAAAAGTGGCAAAAAATGGCATGGTCTCGAGTCTTGATGTCTTCATGTCTCCACTAACTTATTTCTGAAATTTGGTGACTGGTCCCAAGCAAGATTGATGATAGCTAACACAGGTGATGGTGAATGTTGATAGGAAAGTAAAACATTCATTTCTGAAATTTGATGACTGGTCCCAAACAAGAGTCGATGATAGCAAACACAGGTGACGATGAATGTTGATAGGAAAGTAGAACTACTTTTAGCTTCAACTGACAAGTCTATCTAAAGTTTGGTCTGTAATTAACTTGGTTTATTGGTCTTTCTTTTTCATTATCACTTATCCTAATGTTAGGTAATTATAACTTCTATGCATCATGAGTATATCTCTTACAATGAATCCCTCAAATTGTCAATGCATGGTGAATTCTCTGTTAGCGCTCTTTTGTAAGTCAGAATAACCTTGAGTCTCACTGGACTTTTACTTGGCATGCTCAAAGCCTCTTGTTGCAAGGTCTTTAGCATTTTGAAGACAATTACAGGTATTAGTACTCCCTGCTGTTGTGATAAATTTTTAGTTGAAGGATGAAGCTTGATTCTAATATGCCCAAGTATTCAAATGCAGAACTTTTGCCTTACGATTCCAAGAATTCTGGGAGGTGATTCTTTATTTTGCACTTTCTTGTGGTGCCTTTTGAGACTCTTCACTAAGAAAATCACTGTACATTTAGTTGGAACAGGTGTGAGAAGGGGAGGAAGAGGCTTTGAGAAGTAGTAGTATTTTAATATCGTCGTCTGGAAATATTTGATGTTTAGACATCTCTTTTTGCATTGTTCTGTAGAATATGATATTTGGAACATGTTATCTCTACTTTTGGCATATGAAAGCTGGTGTATGGGAAATTGAAAAATCCATCAAAAAGGTTTGGGAATTAGTACCTGCTGCTATTTTTTGGGGGATCTGCAATGAACGGAATTGTAGATGCTTTGATGAGATTTTAAACCTACACATCAAGCAAAATGCTTTAGTGATTGAATAGTTATGTTGTGTATATGAGCAAGCTGTAATTTTTGCTTGCATCTTCTGGATGCCTTAAATGAATTACTTTTACTTCATCAAAATAAGTATTCCCAAGGTCAAAGCAAAAATCCCCAAAAAACATTCTTTTTTGTTGATATGAGTTGCTCATCCTGACGATGTAGTTATTTTGGAGGAAATCAGCTGAAGACCAGCTGAGTGCAATGTACATCTTCTTGGTGCACGGACAGAAAACAAATTGCTTTATTATACTTAATAAATGGGGCTTAAAGACATAGTTTCATGATGTTTAACCATTTTCTTAATCTTGTCCAAATCTTGCAGACTCTTTCGGAGATGAAGAGAAGGAACACTTTCATACCCGGGTCTGCCGTGGCTGTAAAAAGTAAACTCTATGCATGAAGTTGTCATTTGCATAATGATATGCATAGTACTTCAGGGCATGGAGAACTTATTAAAAATGGTTTGTGATTTCTACTTCACCTCTATTTTTATGTCTTATCTTCATTTTAACTTAATATTTTCTGAAATTCTATGCATGTTGTTAATGAGCAATTGTTTGTCATCATCAATTTATATGTGAAACTTAAGGTTGTCCTATGGCTGTGAGTTAAAGAAATGAAATTTGGCTCTCAATGTGTCTAAGGTGAAATATTATTGTTGTGATTCTCACAAGGGGAATCACAATCGATGCGGAAACAAAAGAAAAGATAGAAGAAGAGACACAGATAAGAAACAATTGGCAACCAAAGGATGTATTAATCCAATAACCTCCAATCTAGATTGAGGATTACTATAAACTGGCATGTCAATGTGGTACTGTGAACATTGCTATAGCTTGGTCATTTGTTTTTTTCTTGATACATTCACAGCTGCCGCTGACATTTATCAAATTGGGTGTCCATATTACACATCTATTGCTTGAACCCCGGAATTTAACAAAAAATGAAAAACTTTTTTGTTCGACCATCTTTGTTAGCTTTTATTTCTATTTAAACATGAAAGTTTTTTTGTATAGACTAGGAAATGATTTTGTAAAAATGAATACTATGCAATAAACAAAACTTAGATCACAAATATCATGGCCACATAGATCAAATCCAAGCTTGTAACTTTATTATAGCTATTTAAATAGGTTCTTCAATTTTGACATAGGATATTATACGATAAATCTATTAAAATTAAAATGAATTGAAATTGTTTTAATCGTTAAGAATAAAATCACATGCAATCATTCTTAAATCACCTTGAAAAACATCAACATTCATCATTCTTAATATTTAACACAACAACTTAAAGTTTAATTACTAAATTGAAATCATAAATCCAATACTAAATTGGAGACACTCTTGACCAAGACTTTCTTTTTCTTTAATTTCTATCTTCTTTGATATTTGCTTGAAACTTTTAATTTTAACGTTTAGATGTGTTCTTCTTCACACAGGTTTTGTATATCAATTTTTTTTCTAAAATTAAGCTTAACAAATAATTTTATCTATTGACCAATATGCCCCTGATTCCACTTCCCCAGAAATTTTTGCCCTATTTTACACACAGGTGCTCCCGGAGAAGCAACAATTTGGAGCATAGCAAAAAATGGAAGGTGAATGAGGCAATAGAGAATTTAAGATTTTCTGCTAAGCCAGTGCTTTCTTCATTAATGGAACAGAAAGCCAAAAACCCTTTTAAAAGAACAAGAATAACAAACATTATTAATATTTTATTCTTCCAAACACACGCTAATTATACTCTTCTTCCTTCTCTTTCTCCTCTCTTTGTATTGCTGAATGCTGATGTTGTAATGGGGCTATGGTGATTGATTGCTTCCCTTCTGGACTATGTTCAATCACGGTATTGAGGAAAATACGACCCGTATCA